TGCGTTGACAAGTAGACTGCATCGTAAGTCTACACGTAAGTGTAGACATATAATACAGTCTACTTTCGCGATACAGATCAGAGATATGACGAAAAGCATGTAAATAGTTACCTTGACACCGGTTTAAAGCTTGTTTCCAAGCTTTTCCACCGTCCAGAATCCAAATATGAGCAAAAGAAGCAACCTTTACGATTCACTTATGAATAAAATCGAAACTATGAAGTTTGTGTTAATGAAAATGAGAGTTATGAGGATTGTTTAGATGAAAATAGAGAGGAAATGAGAGGAAATGAAGTATTGTTTGTTTAGAAAGTGAAATAAGTGGTTGAAAATTCATAAACACAAGATTAAAGAGCTCATCAATGGTGGTTTTTGGTGGTTGCAAATATTGATGACAATGACATTGTGGTAAATAAGGAAAAATGTTTAGGGTGTAATAGGTTTTTTATAATTTTCGAAAATAATATCAGATTTAATAATAATGGCAATTTGGTAAATAGATAGAAACATGAGGAGAGTTTAGGTTTTTTAAGAGTGAATAGTAATGACAAAAAAAAAAGAGGTTGGTTTTGTGTTTGACTTGAATTTTTGGGTTGGTTTTGCAAAACCCCCATTTTTGTATTACTCAATTTTCAAAATTAAATACTACAATACTTTAACCTTTATGATGATGATTACTTTTAAAATAAATTAAATACTAAAGTAAGAGTTTAATATTGAAAACAGTAAAAGTCTAAGTATATGTGTATATCAGTCTATTATTTGTTTATAAAAATATATTGTAAGAATGTCTATTAAAATAAATTTGCATATGACGATTAATTAATTTATAAATAATTAAAATAATGAATAATATTTATATTTTTTAAATTTATCAAATAATTGTATTTTTTTATTAATATGATATTTCATGATATTTTATGTGTTAAAGTTGGAAATTTTTTATTTTTACTAAATATTTGATACCACTTTCAAATCTACCCTTAAATGATAATCATTTCATAAATAATTTAATTTATGATGAAAGTACTATATTAACCTTCCTAAATCATTTATAAATGTTGAAGACTAATTTATAAACATCTACAGAGATTTATAAACCTAACACACTCTTAAATACTTAACGGTAAACAATAATCACTAACTCCAAATGAGGGAACTTTACTTTGACCTCATTTTTTATGCCAATTTTCATGTTTACCTCTACTAGAGGGACATTTTTATAAGTACCTAAATTATGATGTTTCATTAAAGGGAGAATTGTACTTTTACACATTCTATTGTACCATTATTCAGTTTCACCTTCAATAGAATTACATTTTCAAATATACCTACGTCATTAATGTGTAAATGACTTAAATGGCCCTAATTCTCTTGCGAAGAAGTCGAGAATCTCTGTTGGAGTTCGTCCGCCTTATTCGCCTTATTGAAATCGAAGCACCAGAACTGCAACCATCATGCCCGATAGATTCACAAGCTCAGGAACCTCCATGGTGAAGGCAAAATCGATCGAATTGGATGATATGGATGGATGCGAAATCGATTGGATTGGAAAAATCATGATGAATTATACACACATCCTCTTACGATGGTGAGTTACGGTTAATCTGGGCTTTGGAGGATGATACTGAGGTTGGATGCAGCGGTGGCAGAGGAAAAGGAAGGAGTGGCGGAAGATCCGGTGGTGATGATGGAGATGGAGAGGTTGAAGCTAATCCTGGAAACGGAATCTTGCTCATTAATTAGACTAAGTTATTGAAAGAGGTATATGCACTTTATTACTCTTTTTCTCTTCTATATCTGAAAGTTTGAAACTTTAGATTGGATTGTGATATATGAATTATAAACAGGTTGGGAAGGATTACTTGAAAGAAGAGTGTTGCGGGAGAGCTGTTCTTGTGAGTCCTAACGATGGGAATGTTCTTGCCATGTACGCAGAGCTTGTGTGGATGATTCATAAGGATTTGTCACGTGCTGAGTCTAACTTCAATTGAGCTGTTGCAGCTGTTCTTGATGATTGGTAAGGAAGATTCTTTTAACTTGTAAAGCTCTCTGACCAAAAGCAGAAGAGGGCAAGCTCACACAAATCGTTCTGTCTCGTATCCTAGCCAAATGCTGTTGAAGAATAGATTTGAAATACTTTATAATACGGATTGCTGAGCTGTTAGTGACAGCTGTGACGTCTGCTGTGTCATCAGCTAGATCTTTACCGAGGCTTTGTTTGAACTTTGAAAGTGGCTTATGCTTCAATGCTTTCATTTATTCTTACTTGAGAATTTGGATTTCAACTCTTTATAAAGTAGTTTATAAACGTTTATAAAGTAGTTATCAAGAGTTAGTTTCCCTTATGCAGCTTCGCTTGTTTCATACATTCATCCATCCTCAGTCCATATCTCATTCAAGTGTCAAGAAATACATTATTTGGTTTGATCCGTCTTTCAATCTATATATGTATCTTGGATGGATTATTTGTGTTTGCAAGAAAAATCCATCTATAATGATTAGTAAATATATAATTAGTTTCAAAACTCTTTTAAATCAGTTTATAAACTCTTATAAATCAAACATATAGACTATTATAAATAACATATGTGGTTAATCAGAATGCTCTCTAAATTATTTTAATAAATATTTCATAAATTAAAAAATACCTTTTATGAACCAATTATAATTTTTATAAAGTTATCTATAAAGTTTATAAACACTTATAATTATTTCTAAAACTACTTATAAGAGTTTATAAACCATTTATAAGAATTTATAAATTTTATAAGGGTTTATAAATATGTTTATAAGGGTTTATAAAAATATTATACGAATTTAATAATCTTCATAACTAGGGCTGGGTTGCGGGTCAAACCCGCCCCGCTGACCCGCCAACCCGCGGATTTTAGTTATTTTTTTTGTTAAAAAATCCGACCCGCACAACCCGCGACCGTATAAATTTTCACCCGCACCCGCCCCGCTTAATTTTGCGGGTAACCCGCGGAACCCGCGGGTTATATATCTTTTTTTAAAAAATACTTATTTAATNATGAAAAAAAAATTTTTTTGCGGGTTGGCGGGTACCCGCGATTAAAAATTCACCAACCCGCACCCGCCCCGCTTAAAATACTCAAAACCCGCACCCGCACCCGCCAATCGATTTTTTCAAATTGTTCAACCCGCACCCGCCCCGCAGCGGGTCAAACGGGGCGGGACCCGCGGGTGATCACTCATATTCCCAGCTCTATTCATAACACAATTTATAAGAGTTTATAAATCATTTTGTAAGAGTTTATATAATCATTTTAAGAGTTGTAAGAGTTTATAAGGACGTACAAAACCATTCAATTAGTTAAAAATAAAATAAAAGAGTTAAAAATTATTATTAGTTTTCTATAAGGCTTTATAATTATAAAAATTATTTTAAATTCTTTGTAAGTGTACATTAGGATTCATAAAGGTTCTATAAGGGTTTGTTAAATGTTTATAAGGTTTATGAAGTCATTTGTAAGAGTTAATCTATGCAAGTTTATAAATCAAATAATAAGGTTTAATAATGAATAAAAAATGAATTTATAAAGATTTATAAATCAATTTATAAATATTTATAAAGTTTATAAGGGTTTATAAAAACAATATATAAAGTTTATACACGTTATAAAGGATTATAAAAATATTTATAAGAGTACGTAAAATTATTTATAATGGTTTATAAAACCATTTACAAGAGTTTTATCATTAATATAGTAATGATCACTTGGTTGCATTTACCAGTCATCGGCCCTTCCATATCTTTTGAATTTATCAGTCCTTTACTTGCCAATGCTTCTCCAAACTTTCTACATTCCACAAAGAGACTATCTATAAAACTTTTATAAATCACTAGAGACCTTTCCCGGGCTACGCCCGGGTTTTTCCCTCTATATTTTAATTTAGTTCAATTTATTATAAAGTATATTTGATTACATATTCGATACTTAGATTAAATAATAATCTATATAAACTATGTAAAAGTTGAAATTTTTTTATATTGTTTTTGGCAATTAAGACTATAAAATTATTAAAATTCATTTTTAATATCAAAATACATATAAATTGGTAACCAATTAAATTAAGAAATATATTTCAAATTCAATTATTCTTTTAACTTGTTTATTTGAATTTTATGAAAATGTGGTTAAATTAACATATAATTCAAATATTTTTATTCAAATTTATCTTTGAGTTTTGTTTAAATCACCATTATCAGAAAACATGAAACCCATGCTTCTTCTTAGATTCACCATCATCAAATCTTACATAAAGTTACGGATGGCCAACGATTTGACGTCTGGCATCTCCTCATCCTCGAATTCCTCCCTGAACAAAATCAATCACAAGTTCGTGTTATATTAAGCAAAGACTGAAGATGAGAACACGAACAAAAGGTAAAAAAAGACTTACTTCTTTTTCTGAGATTCCATTGCTTCAAGAGCATCACTCTTCAGCTCATCCAGCTGCGCTTTGGCAATGCTCAGCTCCAAGTTCTCCTCGTATTTAGGAAGATCTTCTTTCCTAATCCCAAGCCTGTTCAGATTAATGACATTATGCAAATTCATTAGCTCTAATATTCCAAGTAGAAACTTTTTTTTTATTCATGCTCAGTAATCAGTATGGGTGGTTGAAAAGTGTGATATTAACTCACTTTTTGTTGCCTTTTTCGAATTCTGCAACCAAAAGATCCATTCCTTTCTTGTGCTTCTCAAGAGAGGCTTCTCTCTATCCTTTTCAACTTTCTCCAAAGCCTCGGACATCATGGCCTCAGCACCTAACTCATCAGTAAGCCCCCTCCTGCAAGATACATATCACAAGTCAACACACAAGAATTAACTCAAGACTATCCAAAAGGGGGAATGAAACTAATTCAACAGTTACCTGGTGCGGATCTCCGTCAACTTCAAGAGGTAAGCACGAGCATCTGGGATCTCTTTAGTCTCGTTCTCAATATCATATTTGATGCGTTGAGATTCGGAGAACATGTATGCCTTGCAAACAAAGAGAACGCATAACAAACAAAAAAAGAATTAGCAAAATAGGAAACATCTAGAGAAGGGTAACAAACACGAGGGCCTTACTTTTGCCTGATGGTCTTCATGACATTAGCATACTGTTTAACGGCAGTTGGGTCCTCAGGGTCAAGGGTGATCTTTTCCTTGCGGAGAATATCAACTGCAGCCTGAAATTTGTTCTTGATCTCCGTAAAGACACCCTTTAACATCTCTGTCCAAAAAAAAGTGTAAGACTTTAGTAGTAAATAATAGTAAAACAGCGATGCTCTCAGTTCTCAGTCTTGACACACACACACACTACATATTTCACAAGATAATTCAACTTCATCACAAGATAACTTGTAGTACAACAGTCCTATCGATCACGGCCTGTGTTTCTCAATATTTATACAGCATTGACCAGAAAAAAGTGTTCTTCTTTAAGTACAATGCTCAGTTCTTCTACCACTTGTAAATTAACATTTTCTCTCAAAAGAATGAACGGCTAAACAAAAGAAAACAAATGTTTTCCTATAAGCAAACATAATGTTACATACCTTTAAATACAAATCAAAGATATATAAAAAAAGTTGATCACAATAAGACTAACCCACTAAAACACAAGCACGTAAAACATATGAAGGATTCAAAAATACATACTTGCTCACACATAAGAATGTTAAAGACATGGCTTTTCCAAATCTTATGATAGTCGTGTTATACAGCAAAAGACTCCACCGAAGCCAATATCTTCCACAAAAGAGTTCCACCAACTAACGCCAGACTGAAAAAGAAGACCATGAAACTAATTTTCAATTTTTTTTTCCTTTATTAATCTTCCACATTCGCCAATATTTTGAACTACATGTTCCTCATAATAAATTAGATGGAGAGTTCTGAGCAAATGGTTTAGAAAGCAAGCGAAGGAGAACCAGTGTGTACGCTTTGTACTATACCTGTGTTAGAAAAAAAAAAGAAACAGTGGAATACAGTATCAAAGACTATTGACTTTCTTCAAAGATCAAAGGAAAACAAAAACCTAAAAAAAAATCTAAATAGATGAAGAACATGATCATGTTACCGGTACGAACACGGATCCAACTACGTATTAGCTTGTTTTGTCTCATACTCCTCGCGAGCTTCCTCGTGAAATTAATCAGGCCAGCGAGGTCAAGAGAGAAATACAGAGCAGTGAATAGCTAATAATAAATTGAAGTCGAAGCTAATAATAAATTGAAGTCGAAGTTGAGGGGAGGCAACGGTGATACCCAACAGTTGGACTCGGAAATGAAATTCCCGTCTCGTTGAGCGTTCTCGGAGGATGCGACAGTCTTCTTCTTGGTCTTTTCGCCGGTGGGGAGTGAAGATTTGACACTTGATTCCATCGGGATGAATGTGAGAGACGGTAGAGAATCGTATCAGTTAATCGAGACATAAGCTGAGAGGAGAGATCTATAAATACAAAAATATCAAGGAAGGTGAAAGGAGGAAACCATTTAATGAGAAGAAGCAGAGGATTGATTGCAATGAAGCCACGGATTGATTAGAGAAGAGAAGAAAAAGAAGCTCAGGAAGGCGAAAGGTATGAGAAGAACTTTTGTTTTCTTGATTTCTCCGCAAGATTAACCGATTATCACATTAGAAATAACCAAATACCAGAATAGAATATCGGACCGAAACCAAAGCTGGTTACCAATCAGTAAACCGAAACCTACATGGCTGATTGGAGCACTACTATTGGTCAAATATATTTGTCTATGTGGACAGGCTAAGAAGGCTTTATTAAGACCTTTTAATAGTGTTAGATTTTATAACAAGAACAAAAGTCAGTTTATTCTACTTCAGTTTTTAAACATTTATAAATTAGATTATAGAAACTTATAAACCCATTTATAAATCATTATAAATCAATCTTTCATTCTATTTGTATATTCTTGTATGGATTATTTGTGTTTATAATAATTTATAAGGGTTTATAAATCATTCATAATGTTAATAAAAACATTCAGAACGATGATATTAGCATGTTTAAAACATTCAATCAATCATGAGTTTTAAAATTAGAAAATCGTAACAGATGACATTAGCATGTTTAAACTATACGAAGTCGACACATCACTTTTTGTATTAGTCTACAATTCTAAATACAAACCAGCTTATCATACAATCAAGTGGTTTAAATAACACAATATACAATTCTCTTCTGTTTTACAATGTTGACATGTTGTTGATAATTCTCTGTTAATGATGTTAGCATGTTTAACATATATAGGAAGATTGAACAAAACGACTCTTGTACGAGATTTAAAGTGGAAATTCACAATTAAAACAAATTACTCCAATTAACCCAGACACCACATTTGAGTGGTAATAAGAAAAAAAACAGCATCGCAAGACTAGAGAATAAAAAGACGTTATTGTGATCACAAAATCTTTTTGCTTAAACCCAAAGTTTTACTTACTGTTGTTTCGAACCATCGGTCTCGCTATTCACAGGAGTGGTGGAGCCACTACGTTTACTGGTCTGACTTGTAATTCTTCTACCCATGAATCTCCCTGCTTTGCTCAATCCGCTACCCACTGCTCCAAAACCGCTACCAACCATCCCAACACCCGAGCTCACCCGGTTCTAACCATTCCTACGCCAGCACCAATTCCTGTCCCAACCATTCCTACGCCAGCACCGAGCCCACTTCCAACTGCATCCATTGTGCTACCTATCATTCCTGCATCCTTCAGTCTCTTCCTTTCTTCCATTATTTACTTCTCTTCTTCTAACACAGCCATTTTCTCCTCTTTGTTGAACTCATGATAAGGTACCTTCAAACAAAAAAATTGGTTTAGGAAACAGAGTGAAGGAAGAAGCTTTGTGGTTTATTCAAGGGAAGATCTACCTTAAGTGTTATACTTCCTCTATCTTTCTTATCTTTTACTTTCAAAGTATCAAGTGAAGACAACATTTCAGCTCCATTTCTTTTGTAACCCCAACTTCTAAACTGCTTAAAGGAAGTTTCACAAGCCTGAGACGCTCGTCTTGGCCTACGTCTTTATCAAATATCTGTCAAGAGTTTAGCAAAAACGAGACGAGTACTTATTATTTTCCGTGACAAAGTTGAACAAGTACGAAAGTATGACAGTTTCAGGTTGCGAACCTATGCAGTGAGCGATTGGGTTTCTTTGTCCTCTGCAATCAGTTCAAATGTATGGTCCCAAACAGGATTCAGGTTGTTCTCGATTTCCGGGTCTTCATGAGCTGCAATCTAACGGTAGCTCCGCCCACGACGGCGTCACCTTGCTTGGCTGTTGTCCCAGGCACAGGTTTAACAATCTACCAAAAAAAAGAGTTAGCTCCATTACTCCATCCATCATTACTCATTAAACCATAACATCAGATATCAAATTTCAAGTTAATGTGTTGTTCTAACTTCTATCCAAAGACACAAAAAACTAAAATGATCTTTTGTATAGTAGTAAAGGAGCAAAGGAAGTACCCAGTAGCTGTTGGAATCAACGACGCCTGGAAAACCAGTGACTGATTGCTGACCACTGCCGGATCCGTTCGGCACATCATGAGAGTGCAGACAAAACTTAGTCTTCTCGTGCATCAGCTTAATCGCACTTCCATATGTTATCTATCAAACACCATCACAACCACCAAAGACATTAAAAATCCCAATTCCGAATCTAAATCAAAAAGAGCACCTAATCGATACAATGTACAACACACCTCGACGCCTTCGGCGGCGGAAGCAGACGTGTAGCCGGAATCCGAATCGACACTGAGGAAGAGTAAGAGAGCGAGAGAGAAGAATCCGACAGCCATCGTGAAGAGGAGAGCGATGAACCAGCTCTGCTGATAAAAGGGGAATTCAGGGGTCGATTTCCTCGCTGAAGGAGGCGAAACAGAGGGAGGAGGAGATGGAGATGATGGTGGTGGCTTTCTTCTCGAGAGAGATCAAAATTGTCGCTTAATTAATTAGGGATACAACAGTACTTTACCTATTAAAATTAAAATGGTAAAGTTGGTTAAGGTATATATGAAATGTGGTATAAGGAAAATGGTATTAGTCAAAATTTCCCTTCATTAAAGAGGCAAAAAAACAATTCTACCCTTATTTTATAGATATATAAACTATATTTATTTATTTACATAAATAATTTTTATTTTTTCGAATTAAAAAATTTAAATTAGTATTTTCTGATTTTAAATTTGAATTTTATGTTTTTTTTAATTATTGCTTCCATTTTAAAAAAAATGAAAAGGCTTTTTGAAACTTTTAAAAAAATTTATTTAAATTTTAAGTATTAATTTATTTTAAGACTTTTGTTTTTTTTTAATCTTAAACCCACCCTCCAAAACCTCACTCTCAAATTTGAATCTAAGTTTAAATTATATAACCTTATAAATGTTTGTTTACCTCTTTTAAACTATATTTAAATATGGCTAAAATAAACATGAAAGTAATATTAAGAATGTGGTAGTTTAAGCAATTTTTCAGTGTAATTCTACATATTAAAAGTATTTTTTATTAAATATATTTTTGAAAATGATAGATAAAATTCCGAGCAATATCTCGTCAAAATTTGAGAAACCTATATGTGATTTTGTATTTACACTTCTCATTCTTTATTTTTTTTTTTTTTTTATATCAAATGGCTATTCAATAATTCAAACTTAAAATAGTTTGGATAACTAGGAATAGAATAACTAATGAAACAAACCTCTCTATAAAAAGATAGAGCCGTCCTAGACTTCTCATATTTTCATATGGTTCTCCTATATCTCGACTGGATCCGGATCATTTGCATGCACACATATTTTCTTCAATTTTTTTTTTTGATCAATTTTTTCTTCAATTTATTTCTTCATAAAAAACAAATAGAATGTATTAAGCATAGATTTCATAAGAGTCACAAGTCTAGCAGGAAAATAACAAAAGAAAAAATAAAAAGTTGCCGTGGAAGTAGAAAGGCCACCAAATCAAGAGCAAGTGTGGATAGAACGTGTTCTCCACCCGCCAATCAAATTTCATCAAAATCTCAAACTTCCTTTTTTCAATTTCTCACACATCTCTTTTAGATTTCTATCCAATCAAAACCTTTCAAACTTGTCCCAAACCGGTTAAACCGGACCCAAACTCTTTCAAATCCTCAAACATATTCTATCAACGATCTCCTGCTTCCACATCGCTCCCCATCCCTCTCTGTCTCTCTCTGCTCAGTTCCTGATCTGGAGATTGAGATTTGGGGAATCTATGGCGGTTTCAAATGCCTTTGTGGGCTGCCCAAAGCTTGAGACTTTATTGAATCACCATTCTCCATCTTCTTCTTCTTCCTCTACTTTGCAAACACCATTGGGTCTCATTGGTGTTCCGAGGAACAATAGAGTCAAGCGTGGTCTCATCCAGAGAGCACGTTGCGAGCTTTCTCCCTCTGATTCTGCAAGCATCTCTGCTCTCGAACAACTCAAGAACGCTGCAGCTGACAGTAACATCTCTCTCTCTTACTTTTTTTTTGTTTTTATGTAAATCTACTCAAAGTTTGAATCTTTTGTGGGTCAAATGTCACTTTTCAGTTATGTAAATGTCACTGTTGCTGATTGATGTTGTGGCTCTGGTTTGTGGTTTAACAGGATATACAAAGGAAAGAAGCAGCATTGTGGTCATTGGACTTAGCATTCACACAGCTCCTGTTGAGATGCGTGAGAAGCTTGCTATCCCTGAAGCTGAATGGCCCCGAGCTATTGGCGAATTGTGCGGTTTGAATCACATCGAGGAAGCTGCTGTTCTCAGTACTTGTAACCGTATGGAGATTTATGTTTTAGCTCTCTCTCAGCACCGTGGAGTTAAAGAAGTCACTGAATGGATGTCAAAGGTGCCTCTTTGTGTTACCTTAACAAGCTTTTATTCTTCTTCTTCTTCTACTTTGGATTTGTTTTTTGAGTATTTACTTCCTTAGGACATGTTCGTAGTGAGATTTGTAGTTAATCTGCGTATCTACTGAAATTGATTGTTATTCGTGTGGAGCAGTTTTGTAGTAAGTGTTAACATATCATGTTTCTTTTGTCAGACAAGTGGGATTCCAGTTGCGGAGATTTGTCAGCACCGTTTTCTTCTGTACAACAAGGATGCTACACAGCATATATTCGAAGTCTCTGCTGGTCTGGACTCTCTCGTCCTAGGAGAAGGTCAGATCCTTGCACAGGTTAAACAAGTGGTTAAAGTTGGTCAAGGAGTGAATGGCTTTGGGAGGAACATCAGCGGGCTGTTTAAACATGCCATAACAGTTGGGAAGCGTGTCAGAACAGAGACAAACATCGCTGCTGGGGCTGTCTCCGTTAGCTCAGCTGCTGTCGAACTTGCTCTGATGAAGCTTCCGGAATCTTCACACGCATCCGCTAGGATGTTGATCGTCGGTGCAGGGAAGATGGGGAAGCTTGTGATAAAACATTTGGTAGCAAAGGGTTGCACAAAAATGGTGGTGGTAAACAGAAGTGAAGAGAGAGTTACAGCCATCCGTGAGGAGATCCCTTATGTTGAGATTTTGTATCGACCTCTTGATGAGATGCTAGCTTCTGCTGCTGAAGCTGATGTTGTTTTCACCAGCACAGCCTCTGAGACGCCGTTGTTTTTAAAGGAGCACGTAGAGACTCTCCCTCCTGCTTGTCCAGAGATTGGAGGAGTGAGGCTTTTTGTTGACATCTCTGTCCCGAGAAACGTCGGTTCTTGTGTCAATGAAGTAGATACCGCACGTGTTTACAATGTGGACGACCTCAAGGAAGTCGTTGCTGCCAATAAAGAAGACAGGCTGAGGAAAGCGATGGAAGCTCAGACCATAATAGCTGAGGAATCAAACCAGTTTGAAGCGTGGAGGGATTCACTAGAGACGGTTCCTACGATCAAGAAGTTAAGAGCTTATGCAGAAAGAATCAGACTGGCAGAGCTCGAGAAGTGCATGTCCAAAATGGGGGATGACATCAACAAGAAAACAACCAGAGCTGTTGATGACTTAAGCCGAGGTATAGTGAACAGATTCTTACATGGTCCAATGCAGCATTTGAGATGTGATGGGAGTGACAGTAGAACACTGAGCGAGACTCTTGAGAATATGCATGCTTTGAACAGAATGTACAATCTCGAGAAGGACATTTTGGAGGAGAAACTCAAGGCCATGACATCGGGACAACAAAAGTAAAAGATAAGAAAGAAGAGGGTCTGGTCCATCTCTTTTGACAGACATAGCAAAATGCATATATCATTAAGCTGAGGATCTATATGATTCATTTAATTTAAGTACCAGAGACGGTTTCTTTGGCTAACATTTTATGTCGTCTAAGTGTAAGTGTTTGAGAAGCTAAGCGAGCTTTGTTGCATGTTTTTTGCTTCATAAACTCGTATATAACGGTACTGATCCAAGTACTGTTACTCATCTGTAATATATAAACTTTGGTTCATGTGGTATAGAGATGTTTTTCCTTTTGTGTTTTTATATATTTGTTAATATAAACTTTAGCTAAACATAAAGAAAGATTTTTTTTAATTTATTTACCGAATCAGTTAGATATAGACATTCGGGTATTCATTCAGATACAAGTTGTTTCTTTCGAGATCAACTTTTTGGGTTTTGAAATTAGACATGCTTGGATATTATAAATTTATGTGTAAGGTTTGAAATGGGACCCCGGGTTTGAATGATTTTGATTCTAATGTATATGAACATAAGAATATCTAAATTACCAATATATCTAAAATGAGTTCAGATATTTGTGATAAAAAATAATCTTATTACATGATTTAGTCTGGTTCTTTTGTATGCAATTAGTTATCGGTGACATATCTAAAACATATAACACTAATCATAAAAAACGAATATCAATTTATAAAACCGTAAAAATCAATACCTACACGGATGCACGGGTCAAACTCTAGTTGAACTTAAATTTGTCCCAATAAATTTTAGAGGTTTAATTGGGGAAATAAGATTTAAATCTAATCTATTAATTTAGAGTCCTATTTTTTGTATATCATTTAAATTGTTATTTGGTTTTGGACACATTCAAAATCTTCATTAATATTATAACTACTTATATAACATATAACCGAACTTCTTAATTTAAACCAACATGACATTAATTAAACCATCATTCGGTTATTTACAAGTAAAAGAATAATACGAAATCCAAATCCTTCGATTTAGCTTCATTTCATAAGTTGGTTTACTTTAGTCTTATCTATATATACTAGGATAAGACATCCGCCTTGCGCATGATGAATGTATGTAATTAAAATATAAAATTTTAGTATTGATAAATTTAAAATTTACATATGATTGTTTTTATATGTATTTGAAATTTTAGAATATTGGAATTTTTATATAATTATCTATATGTAGGATCATAAACAATTGTAATTAGAACTGCAGATCAAATCTTAGAATTTAATGTACCCGATTTCATATATCTTTTCACTTTTCAGTGTTCAAATGATGGAAAATAAACGGAGTGTCACTGGGCTTGATTGGTAGAGTATTAGCAAATTCCCTAATGCTTTCATAAGAAGCAGTTAGTACAATATTTACATTTAAAATATATAAAGTTTCAAAACTAATTTAATATAATTTAATTATTTTCTAATAATATTAGAAAATTATATTTTTTACAAATTATATTTAAAAATAATTTTATAAAAATGAAGTTAAATTTTAAATTATTTTTAAAAAATAATATTTTAAGTTTTTCAAATACAAATAAACAAATGATCAATTTAAAAATAATTATGGTCATGATTTAACATAACCATAATGATTTAAAAATAACAAATTAACAAATTAAAAATTAACTCAGTTTTATATCATGATTTAACAATTTAAAATTTAATTATGGTTATGAGAAATTTACGTTCACATGTCAATCATATTTATTTTCTATTTTTTCTCTTGTTGTATTTTTTTTATTTTGGTTATTCCTCGATATAAATATTTATTTTGAAGTTTATTCTCATTTTTTGTTTTTTTTTACCTGAGATTGAGAAAATACTTAAGATTTAAAATAATTAAAGAGATATATACTTAGGTTAAGATCTGCACTTTATGCACAATAAATATTTTATATCTTATATTTATTTTATATTTTTCTGCATATTCTAAAATAATATATATATATATATATATTAAATAACGAAGAAATCAGTTACTATTATGTAATAAATTGGCGTATGCATATAAATTTAACTATCACTCTTGTTTATTCGCAATTGGGTAAGAAAATCAAATAATCAATCTTATATATTGTATATGATATATAATTAATTTTAAAAGATATAAACATAGTAATATAGACCACGTTTAATGTGGATATTTATTAAATGAGGTTTCTACTCATACGATTTTATGATTATTTGAATATTTTTGTAACAAAACTTTACACCCACGATTTTTTTTTAATGTGAGATTTTTAGTAGTTTAAATAATTTATAATCATTTTAAAAAAACAGTGACATATTTAAAAATTAAAATATTAACTTTTCAATATATGTTCAATGCAAATATTAAAATATAAGTATGTATTTTCATACGGTGTATAGTTTAATTTAAACGATATGAAATATATATAGACTAAAATTATTTCTTCGTATGGTCTTATAATTATTATATTTTAACATAGGAAAAAAATAAAACCTTGAACCTAAAAATTTATGTGAGACTTTTAAAATTATTTTTTCGTATGGTCTTATACTCATTTTGAAAAATTTGAAATGCAACCTACACATAAAAAAATTTAGATTTTTATTATATGATTAATGTTATGTGTAATTTATTTTGATAATAAAGAAATAAACAAAATGAGAATAAGTATACAAACTGTTATCAAATTTTTATTTTCTAAAATCATTAATATAATATATATTTTAATCACATTAGGTAGTTCCGTAGGTTTTATATAAGGAAAGCATGTGAAAAAGTAAATATTTGATATATGCGACCAACTATATCGTACCAAATATTATATTGTTAGAGAGTATAATTTTCAAATTATACATTATATTATATGCTCTAGAATTCTTCTAAATTGAAATAGAAGACAAAGAGCTACGCCACATATGATTGAGGTTATTTTTAATTATTAGAATTTTAAGGTTACAATTTTTTAAATGATTCTCTTTTAATATATATAGGGGATATATATTACTATCTCACACATACAATTAAACCATTCGACCAATACTTTTGGTTTTCTTTTTTTTTTTGGTTAAAAGATTTAAATTTTAGTTTTCATTAGCACAAACATATGGTTTGAGCCACCAATAAACCACAACCAAATTTTGACGTTTCTTAAAAGTTACATAATTGGTTTACTTACTTACACATACAATTAAACAATCGAACAATTACATTTTAGTTTCATATAACACATATGGTGTAAGTTACCTATAATTGGTAACATTCACATCTTTAGCTAGCTATGACTAAACATCTAATTCACTACCTAGAAGTTCATGAGATTTGATATACACATTAACATTGTTAGCTATAACATTCCCATCTATTTATTGTTTAGCTTACAAACTGGAAATTACCAAATGGTTATTTAAAAATGCCAAATTGACATTTGAGGAATTATGTTAAATAGAAAGTTGCAGTTTTTAATTATATTTCGAAAATACATATTCCTAAAAGGATATCAAACATTTTTTTAAAATCATTGTTATGTATAATTAACTATAAACCAGTAAAATAGTTCCCCAAAAATATTGAACAAATATTTTAATAAATTTAAAAGAAATAAACGATTTAGTAAATTAAGAAAATAATATATACTCAAAGAAATAAACGATTTAATAAATACATTGTATACTCTTTTATATAAATATAAATTTATAACTATAATTAGAAAAATAATCTGCCCAAACTTACTATTGATAAGTTATAGCTGCAAAATTAGACCAACCAAACCAAAATATAAAATAGTCAAATCAAATTGAACTTCATAATTAACTAAACTATTACTCTTCCTAAACCGAAAACCAAAATCCCTAACAAAACCGGAAGCAATCCAAAAACCAAAAAAAAAAGTGAACATAAACCAAAATTTATAGAATTTCATCGAATAATAGATTTTAGTTTAAAACATAAATTATAAATATAAATAATCCCGTGCAACTGCGTGGATCAGAATCTAGTCAATTATATTAAAAGAGAAGTCTCAATATAAAGGTTATTAAATATTTCAAATTTCTCTATCATATATAAAGGTTATTAAATATTTCAAATTTCTCTATCTTTTCAAGTTTGTCTTACGTAATAAAAATATATTTGTTATGATGGAAATTTTATATATATAAAGATTTTGTATTTTAATTTATTATTAAATACATTGAATATATGAACAGTAACTTATTCTAACGATATTAACTTTTCACACACACACGCACACACACATATATATATATGGATTTATATTTGTTTTAAATTTTTCTTAAAATTGTATATGATATAAAATTTAACTTTTGGATAGCACAATATAAAATACTTTTTAATAAAGATCATTATAAATCAATTAAATATTTTTTTGTCATCAACTTAAACAGACTCGGATAAGACTATGTAAACCACACTAGTTACTCCGCATCCATATGAACAACAAACGACGTTTAGTTCATGACACTACGTGTGAGATTATCCACCCTCGTGTTTTGCGTACATGATATATGAATGCTCTCTAAGTGGTTGAAACTTCCTTTCAAGGTCCTGATATCTTCCAATTAACTTTCAAATGCATGTCATTCTTCTAGTTCTGAAACAATCTTCACCAACTGAGAACAATCGGTTGCAAAAGTAACTTGAAATTGTATTAAATTCCTCATACAATCTATAGCCCAGATGAGAGCCTCTAGTTCAGATTGTAGAGGTGAAAGACTAGCTCTTGAATTCCTCGCTCCCATCAGTTCATCAAAACTTTCTAACGTACTATACCAACCTTGTCTCGAATACAAATCATGATCCTTCCAAGACGCATCAGTGAAACACCATCTTCCTGGTAACGAAGGTAAATTTGTATCCCCTAACTCCCTTGGTCGGTTTGCCCTGTGGGTTAGAGAGGCTTGTGCCTCAGCCTAAATTAAAGATTCAGTTTCCACCAAGAGTATCTCTAGGATCAATATCCAAATCGCTAAGCACCTTACTGTTTCGTCCTTTCCATATATATCATAACATCCATGCAAATTGATGGTCCTCCATTTGTGGTATAACTCTCAAAAGAGATAATCAAAAACTGTGGATTCGAAGGAATCTGTGGTAGAGCCCAAACTTGGACCACGAAATGGCACTAAAAACAGATGATTTATTGACTCCTCTAGTGCTCTACACCTATCACATTGTATGTCCCCTTGTAATGAAAGTGGTCAGGAAATATGGACTACCTTCTGGACAATGCATTAATTTTGAAAAGTCATCTCTACTCTTTGGTAAGAGAATCGGACAAGAGGCTAGGCAAGAAATCAAAGATACACTTGGGATCCAAA